AGTCGTTCTTCAGGTCGGCTGCTTTTTGGCTGATTTCCTTTCTTTGTTCCGGGGCTTGCCTGAGTTCGTTCCCCTGTTTGTCCATCATTGGCCGAACTTTTCCTTGTTTCCGAACTTGGTTGGATGTCAACCATTGCAGTTGTTACTTTCGGAAATGGTTGCTGATCTACACCTAGAGTGATGTATTTGAGCCGACCCGTCTTGATGGCCTTTTGAATTTCCTTCCTGAAATGAGTACACTGACTTGTAGTGTGCGTGAAAGAATTATGCCACTTACAATATGGTCTCCCTTTGATTTCTTCTTTAGTGGCAAGTCTTTGCCCCTTTGGAATACGGATCTGCCCATCAGTCAGCAAGATATCAAAAATTTCATCAGCTTTTGAACTATCAAACGTCGGTTGTTCTTTTCCTTCAGATCCTAGTACTGGCTTCAACTTAGGGCATACATAAGGTTTTCCAGAAAGGATTTTGGCTGCCATCTCTTCTGGCTGATTAAAATCAAAGTCACATGTTTCCGTTGCCATACTCGCCATATGTTGGCCTCTATTACGCCTGTTATGCTGATCCTCCTCTCTGAACAAAGACTCTAGACGTCCTGCTTTAGATGCAAGACTTGCCAAATCCTCAACATCCAGGGCAGTGAGTGCCTTTCTTAAACGCGAATGCATATTCCGGACCACTAAATTGGTCATCTCTTTCTCACTGATTACCGTAGGACATCGTCCCTTCATCAATCGCACCCTTTCTATAAACTGTGAAGCAGTTTCTTCTGGATACTGTCTCAATTCAAGTAAATCAGTTAAAGAAACAACTGGTAAAGGATTGAAAAATCTAGCGTGAAATGCCATCTCCAGTCCTTCCCATGTCTGAATTTGTCCAGGAGGCAGACTTACAAACCACGAAAACGCTGTTCTAGTAAGAGATAAACCAAACAGCTGTAACTTATAAAAAGGGTTATTGCCAACTTCTCCTAATTGTGCTGTGAACCGACCAACATGTTCTATGGTGGAAGATCCGTCCTCCCCTGAGAATGCATGAAAATCAGGTGGTCGAAAATTCCTTGGGAGAGGGTGTTCATTAATGATCCTTTCTGGGAAAGGTTTCTGATATGCAGGGCGGTTAGCCATCTGAGGAGTTAATCCATACTGATCCCTTAATATATGTGCAAGCTCATCAGGATCTACATGAAAGCGTTGATGATCAGGAACATGGAACGGATCCTGCACAGGAATATGAATAGGATCATGTATATATCCTTCAGGCCTGTCCTCCCTTGTATTGTTCGTCTGCGGATTGGTAACCCTTGGTCCCAGTGGAACAGTGTTGGGAAAAGTTAGAGGAGACTTTCCCCTATCCATTCGGTTGGGATTTGTGGCACTTGGAAATACACTATCCACGAATGATGGCCCTGCGAAATTTGTCTGTAGTCTGGACGGTGATACTCCTGGTGGAGTTTGAGTGGGTTGAAGACTAACCCTAGACAGTGCTTGATCTATCATGGTCTGCATCATACTCTGTTGCTCACGCAACATGTTCGTTTGTTGCTCACGCAACATTTGTAACATAAGACCACCAATCTGTTGGTGGTTGTGGGATTTCCCCGGCATTTGGCACATTAGGTGGTGGAACGGATTCTCCCACCGGTGCCGACGATGATTGAGGTTGTGAACCTGCCATATGGACCCTTCCGATGATACGGCCGGATCTAAGACGTATGAAATTATCGCCGGAATTGGAATGAGCAATTTTGTCTTGCTCCCACTGTGGTCGCCAATTTGTTGATGTAATTTTTCAACAAAAATAAAGTAAAATTCAAAGATATAGAAAATATCCTTAAACTTGATTAATTAGTGCCTGAGATTAGGAATCTCTAAACACTGTATGGTACAGAAACTAAACTGGAAAATAAAAGACTGAAATTTAAAGTGGTGATCCCCAAATCTGACTTTGCTTTGTTGAAGTTGATTGAAGATGCCTTGCCAAATGATGATCCAAATCCTTAAATATTCTTTGAAGAAAACGTTCAGAACCGTCGCACTGTTTCACCAACCGTTCCCACCAGTTACAGAACTCAGAACTGCCTCTTTCATTGACACATGTCTTTAACCGCCTCGCCAACCGCATAACCCAACGACCGACCAACCGACCAATCTAGATACATAATTGGTCGCCAGATCAAAAAACTCACTGGTCGCCCCATCAAACGACCACTATTTGGTCTCTTCAATCGTCTGACCTATCAACAGACCTTTCTTCGCCCGACTTCCTTTTTCGACCGACCCCCATAGCAGCCAACCTTTGTATCAACCGACCCATTTATCCGACTGCGGATAATCCGACCTGCTTGCCCGACCGCGGACCATCTGACTTGCTTATCTGATTGAGAACTAACCGACTGAGAACCCACCGACTGACTCTGGATACCTTATTATTATTATTATTATTATTATTATTTTTTGTGCTTAACAATAAGCCTCCTCCTCAAGACTCCTAAACATCACTTCCAGTGATGTTTTAGGAGTTTGCAGGCCGGCATCCGAGGCTACGTCAGCCTCAGATCCGACCTCCATCCTTCGAGGCTACGTTGGACCCGACCTCCATTTATCGCGGACTGGTGCTGGCCTGGACGTTGGTCGATCTTGCACTACCATTGTATTCAGACTCCCGTCCGACTTATTCCTCCTTTCGGCCACTGTTGTTCTGTCATTCTTTTGCTCGCCTGAAAAGTTATGGTCGGCGACCTGACCCGTGTCCGTCCATTCGGCGGGGTCCTCCTGACCTGTATCCGTCCATTCGGCAGGGTCCTCCTGACCTGTATCCGTCCAGGTTACGTAGTCCTCCCGATTTTTGTCCGTCCAGTCGACGTGGTCTTCCCGATCTGTATTCGTCCAGTCGGCGTGGTCCTCCCGACCTTTGTCCATCCAGTCGGTGTGGTTGTCCCGACTACGGTCCGTCCATTCGGTGTGGTCCTCCCGACCATGGTCCGTCCAGTCGGTGTGGTCTTCCCGACCATGGTCCGTCCAGGCGTCGTGATCCTGCCGACCTGTCTCCGTCCATTCGGTCGTCCCTGGTCGGGCCTGTCCTCCTGTTTGGTCCTGTTTCCAGTCTGTCTGACTGGGTATATGCTCAGGAATGGCGTTGTCCGATTGGGGGCATGACATTTCTGGCGGTGCAGGAACCGAATTCAACATGAATTTTGATTGCTCCATCAAGTTTTGCATTGCGTCATGTATTGCCTGCAGATTTGCTATCTGCTGGTCGTACATTTGCCGAAAACATGCTGTAAAACCTGCTGTCAATTCGGCCCGTAGTTGGGAAGCTTCTTCTGCCGTGATAAAGCCAACGGCTGTACTGTGGAATTGAAAATTTGCCATATGGATCAGCAATTTTCTCCCACTGTGGTCGCCAATTTGTTGATGTAATTTTTCAACAAAAATAAAGTAAAATTCAAAGATATAGAAAATATCCTTAAACTTGATTAATTAGTGCCTGAGATTAGGAATCTCTAAACACTGTATGGTACAGAAACTAAACTGGAAAATAAAAGACTGAAATTTAAAGTGGTGATCCCCAAATCTGACTTTGCTTTGTTGAAGTTGATTGAAGATGCCTTGCCAAATGATTATCCAAGCCTTTAAATATTCTCTGGGAAACCGTACCGAAAACCGTCACCCGAACGGTTACAACGTCTCCTTCCTAACCGTCTTCCAACCCTTCTCATGCTGACACGCGTCCCCAGCAGACCAAAATTATCCCTATATTTCACTCTTTGAGTCCGACCACAAACCTTCCGCTCTTTTGGCCCGACTGCCAATCTACAATAGTATGGGTCCGACTGCCAATCCTCCCGACTTGAGATCTTTCCGTCTTGAGGACACCTCCCGACCTAAAAACCTTCCGACTTGAGGTCTTTCCGCCTTGAGGACTTCCGACCTGAAAACCTTCCGCCTTGAGGTCTTTCCGTCTTGAGGACCTCCCGACCTGAAAACCTTCCGACTTGAGGTCTTTCCGCCTTGAGGACTTCCCGACCTGAAAACCTTCCGACTTGAGGTCTTTCCGTCTTGAGGACCTCCCGACCTGAAAACCTTCCGACTTGAGGTCTTTCCGCCTTGAGGACTTCCCGACCTGAAAACCTTCCGTCTTGATGACTTTCCGTCTTGAGGACCTCCCGACCTGAAGACCTTCCGACTTGAGGTCCTTCCGTCTTGAGGACCTACCGACCTGAGGTCCTTCCGTCCTGCTGACTTTCCGTCTTGAGGACCTCCCGACCTGAAGACCTTCCGACCTGAGGTCCTTCCGTCTTGAGGACCTACCGACCTGAGGTCCTTCCGACCTGAGGACCTACCGACCTGAGGTCCTTCCGACCTGAGGGCTTTCCTTAGTAATAAACCTATTTTTCCTTGATTTCCTCATGGTGCCCTTCAGTCAGTTCAATCAACTCTATTGCCAGGCCCACTATTCTTTTTACCTTGGGCTTTTAACCTAATTCTAAATTTCGTACGTAACAGTATGATATAAAATAATGACAATTATGTAATATATTGTAAATCAGAAGAATATTTGTAATATTAGGTAGACAGTGCAATTATATTAAAAAAATAGATATTTTATTATGAACAGACAAAATAGAAAAATAAATAAATTGTTAAAAAATGGAGGGGAAAAAGTATAAAAATAAAAAAAAAAAAATTATTTAATTTTTTACAAAAAAAAAATTAATAAATAATTAAAATTTGATAAAAGAACTAACCCCAAAAATTAATACAAAAGCAAATTTATAAATATAAGAAAGAAATTAAAAAATGTCACCGAATGCAACGAAATAAATTATTAACAAAACATTTATTTTTATTCTTATAATAACATTTCTGACATAATATTACGTTAGAGTATTAAAAATCCAGCTCATTCACTCTCAGATGCTGACAGGTTTAATAGCGAAACCGCGGCTGCCTGCAATGCTCTCTATTGCTGTTGCTATATATTAGAGCCACTTTGCACATTTCCTTTTCAGCCAAAATTTTCGAAACCCACTGAACCAAAATGCGCACCCGCCCGCCCTTCCTTTGCTGCTGATCTCGCCATAAATTTTGTTTCCCAATCACTGCTCAACTTCTTCGCTCCAGATTAATCTTCCTTACCTAGACGGCTACGCCCATTTATTTATCTGCAAAATTCGTTGCTGCTGAGGTAAAATCATCTCAGAAAGCAATCAAGTGAGGTGCCTGCCGTTCGGCGTGCCTTGCGAGGACATATTCTGCTAGGGTTTCGTGTAGATTCTGAGGAGGACAACGAACAATGGGAGGCGCTAACAAGCAGGAGGAAAAGGGGCAACTTGGTGGTGAAGTAGCAGCGGGGAAAGCTGAAGAAAAGGGGAAGGGAACTGATGTGAAAGAGGAAGGGAATGCCGCTGGGGAGGAGGAGGGTGTGAAAGCGGCGGAGAAAGCGGAGGATGGCGTTTTCGAGCAAGAAGAAAACGAAGAGGAAAGGACTGAGGTTGTCAAGGAATCGGAAACAGAGAGGGGGAGTGATGCTGGTGATTTAGCATCACCGAGAACCGATAGGCCGACAAGAGAGAGGAAAATGGTGGAAAGGTTTACCATTAATTCAACTCCAAGGAGCTCTGGTTCTAAGAGCTTGGCAATTCTGCAGGTACATCATCGTTTTCGTTTTTGCGATCGTTGCTAATTTCCAACTGCATCTTGTATGGAAGAAGGTCTTCCATGGGGGCAGCTGCAGTGCTGAAAATTAATTGAATAATATCGTCATGGTTTAATAATTTGCTTTAAAATAAAAATTTTGTTTGTTAAGAGGTATATGCTTAGATTAAACAAACCTTTGTAAAGGTATTTTTGGTTTGCATCTGAGCAATTTCAATTCTAGTTCTTGATTATTCATGGCCTTGAGATGCTGGTGAAGTGCAGTGGAGAGTCTATTGCTTTTTCTTTGCATCATATAGAATCACATTATTCATAGGCTATTTGATGATGAGGTTTTGAGTATGAAACACATTAAGAAGCAGAAAGTAGGGAACTTTATTAGTTTTTCTTTCGATATATGTCGCTTAAGGACAAAAGAGAAGATAAATAAAGTCTTGGGTGAATGAAACGTGGCAATCGACAAGATTCGAGTAGTTTTGGTATGATAGGTGATGCATTTATTATGTTTTGTTGATCAAGAGTTTCAGCGTTGACCGATCGTTTGATGTTATGGTAATCAAATAGTATTGCTAGATATTGGAATTTAGCGGTTAGGAATAGATGGTATAATTAAGGGAATGTTTTCTTAAATATATAAAAGCCACGAATCTATTAAGTAATATAACATATATACACACACACACGAGGCAATGAACTTCAGATTCCTGACTATCATTTCTGGAAAAATTACTCAAATGTTTAATTATATTGTTTTGTCGTTATTTATGCTTACAAAAACTAGTACATAGGTGAAAATTTTTTAATAATTGAGAAGGGCACCAATTTAAAACTTTTATGTTATGAAAGATTTAGATACCTAATAAGTTGTCTTCTATTATAATTTGAATTGACGAGTGAGATCACTTTAAACACACTATTCACTATTCAGGTCGTACAAGGATTTTGTTTGAAGTGTTCAACTAGAATATACTCATTTATATTTTGTATTTTTGTACAAACTCTATTAGAGAAACTATTTATTGTAAGATCTTGTCATGTAATGAACTAGGAGTATAATAGATGCAGTTTCAGACCAATGTAAAAATCATGCTGAGATTTTTAAAATATGAAAGGGGTACACATATATAGTTTTCGTTCAATTTTCCTTCTATTTTTTCCACCTTCGGAAGCAATAAATGATGAAAGTATTATTATAGTTATTTTTAATTTTCAAGATACCGTTTTCTAAATTAATGTTAGATAAACAATAAATGTGTTCTTATTAATGAGGTTATATAACTTAGAAAAGTTCAATATGGAACACAATTACATTCCACAGTCTATCAATTAGGTGGTATGTGGACTTTTGTTGCTCTGCATGACGCTTTCGGCTAATAGGTTTCTAGTTACGTCAATTTAAGTTTGCCCGATCTGTTCAATTGCGACCTTAAAACACATTCGCATTGTCTGGTCTAATTGCTGTTTTTGTTTTTGTATTCCTGATTTATCCCCTAGAGCAGTCTGGTTTGGATGTCTGAATCTGCTGTTTACAGTGCCTATTCAATTGAGTTTCTTGCTATATGTTTTTCTGTCGGATCCTTTTTCTTTTCAAACCTTACTCCTTTTACCACCTTTCCTCTTCATTTTCATTTTTATTTTTATCTTTTTTTCTGCTCTTTCTATCCTCAATTTTGTTGCAACTGGCTCATCAACAAACTCTGACCATCATTCATTTTTCCTTGACCCTATACTCGTTCAGTGTGTTTCTTATATTTGATGGTTAATTATAGCTATAGTACTTTTTATGGTTGAATTGGATATTATATATGAAGTAACCCAAAAAGAAGATTAAGGATACAAGTGGACAGATGATTTGCTCCATATGCATTTTTGTTAGTTACTCTGAACAATTAAGTAAATGAGGCAATTACCATTATATAAGGATTCCCTAAGTGATCCACATTTTCTCATAGCTGTAATTGTAAATAGCATTCTGTGGCACAAGGCGCAATAAGTGCACAGTGCTATATTTGCGAGGCGTGCCTCATCCAGCAGCATATCTCAAAAACTAATGTTCTTTGGGCAGTATTACCTTTTTGTTTCATTTGTGATCTTATTGTTATTTTCTCCCTGAAATGGAGATGCGTAGAAAATAAATACTCCAAATACATGTTCTGATACTTATCACTCAATTAAATATAGGAAGAAACTAGTTAATTTTTTCTTTTGTTATTGAGCCATTTCCGTGTGTGCGTGTGTGTGTGTGTTTATTGTGGTTGATTGGCTATTTACTGGCATCTGATTACTGACCTGTGGTATTTGCGATATGTGCAGGGTCAAGGTACACAACTGAAGGACATTCCAAATGGTACTTTTTCTCTCTTATTTGTGTCCTATTTTTGCCATAAAAAAAAATATAAATTAGCTATATGGCCTGTTAAATACCCTAGTCCATTGCATTTTTGTATATTTCTTTGTGTGATTCTTTTACTTTCAGTACATTCTTTCTAAGAAAATCTAAAAAATTCTACTTCTAATGATTTGAATGTACAGTTTACTTTTTGGGACCAATAAAACTCTATATTATCATATTAAATGACGTAATTATTAAATATTCAGCAAAGTAAATTGCACAGTACTAAAAACTCCTTTAATCTTTGTAGTTTTTTAGTGAAAAATTTCTGTGAATGTAAAACAGGCTACAATAAATTTCTGTAATTTCCTAAACAATATACACTAATTGTATGTTTCTAGTTGCTTGGCACATTTATAGATATAACTAAATAATATGGTACTAACATGTTAGGATTATGTCATTGAAATAACAGCAAATATGATGATTTTCCTATGTATTTCAAATGATTTTAGACACTAATAAAAGTGGATAATTCCTCATTAGTGTTAGAGTACGGCATGGTTCTGGATGACAGATTGTCAACCAGGCAGATATACAGAATGTTACTGCGTTGGCCCATACCAGTTGCAGTGATGGCTTTTCTGTCTTCATGCCTGTCGATATATTTTGGTGTAGTTGCACTGATGGTATCTGGCTGTCTGCTTATGTTTGTTTGGTTCAGCTACACAATTTATTGAATACTTCTTGTTCTGATAAAATAAATTCCTTGTGCTCTGTGATGTTATTAATGATTCAGTGACCTTCAAGCTGTCGAAGAGAAAAGCGGATGAGAACCTGCAACTTTTTCATACCATTCTTTTTGGAAAAAAAGCAAAGGTTCAGTTTAAATTTGTTTTCAGCTTCTCATAACATCTTTTAACATATTGGCTCTATTTTTAGTCCTGCACTGAGGTGTTTGTGTTTCTTTTTCTTGGTCAGGTGCATAATCTGAAGAAAAATATTGGCCACTTTTCTGGTTTTGTTTGGTTGGACAATGAGGTAGAACATTTCCCTTCTCTTTTTTTTTTTCTTTTCTTGTGATTTATTCTCTGGAACCTTCAGGGCCAATTGTGAGTGTGTTTAGATGTGACTTTCTTCTAAAACAAAGCAGTCTAAAATGCGTTTACACTCTTAGACAGAAGGGTCTCTGAACGCGAAGTATGATGTTTGTTACTTTTGCTAATTAGCTAGTATTTATTGAGCGAAAAGACTGATTATACTAAGCATATATACATATATATATACAGTACTACATGAAAAATCTTGAAACAGTAATTATAAAATGTACAAAAGTTCGCTAACCATCAAAGAATGAGGAACCTATTAGATTTCTAAGGATTTGTGAAAACTTCATGAACGACAGATGGTTTTGTAAAATTGAAACATGGTATTTGATGGTTTTCAGAGTAATACAAGCATATTCATATATCCTCGAAAGCTGCTAATGCCACATGAATTACCATCATCTTTTCATTTAGGCATGTAGTCAATAGCAGAAGAGAAGCCGTTCTGGGTATTTGGTTTGTGTGTGTTTAGTTATAAAATAAGATATGAACCAACACACTAGTTTTTTCTGACAACAAATTTCTTTATAAGGTGCTATGCTGATTTCAACTGATCCTTGAATAAAACATAAGTTTGTAAATATCAAATACATTATTGCATGCTTCTTTATTAGGATGAACCTTTTGTTGTGTCATGACCAGTTCTTTGGGCCAATGTCATACTTGGTTTCTTCAACAGGGAAAAGAGAGGGCCAAAGTGAAAGGGAAGCTTGATAAATGTGTTAAAGAAAAGCTTTTATATTTCTGTGATGTCCTTGATATTCCAGTGAATAGAGCTACCGTGAAGAAGGTATATATTTGACATATATTATAGTTTTACAATCCAAAAGATATCTATGCTGAAATATGTTTTTCTATGTTGTTCAGGAAGAACTTTCTTCAAAGTTAATGGAATTCTTGGAATCTCCACATGCTATGACCGAAAACTTGCTTGTTGACAAGGAGAAGGTTTATTATCCGTTTTCATATTTCTCTTTATTTATTTTTTGTCCATTAGCTGTGAAATTTACTTATCTACTATTGTTATGCTATGTATTAATCACAACACCTTAAGGGTAAAGGAAAGAAGAATACTGAATCTGCAAGCACAGGCCCTGGATCTTCTCCTGCTGTTGAAGAAAAATCTACAAAGGTACGTAGTTCTCAAATCTACGAAGTGATGTATACTGAAAACTTTGTTGTAGGATCAAAGATTGAAAGACTTGTTCCAAAATTATCTATTTTATATATCTTTAAAATGAGAAAGTTCCATGAATGGGATCTATTCCCTATGGTCTAAAATATTTATTGATCAATAATTTTTGTGCTCATTCGAGGAACTGTGCCTTGGCATAATTACATGAATGGCCTAGTTAGTTGTCAAGTGATGTTCATATGCTGTCGGGAAGCTGCATCATATAGGATGCATTCCTCTTAGAAATACATACACGGGTTCACTTGTATATTTTTATTATCATGGTGGAACTATCTTGCCCTAAAATGCGACCAAGGTGATTCAAGTGAACTGCTTCCTGCTTTAAGCTGAAGTTATTTGAAGATACTTCTGATTGGCAATGCTAGTAAACTTTCTTTAGAAATCTTTATAAACTTAATTTTTATGTTATTCCATTGTTCAATGCTTTTGGGTGATTCAGAAGCAAAAAATTGATTCGGACTCTGGAAAGAAGCGGAAACATGACACTGGGGAAGAAGATGACACCAAAAGTGAGCAATTGGAAACTGAAGATAATCTGGATGGCGACAACAAAGTTTCTGGGGATGAAAGTGACCAGAAAAATAATGATAATATAGACCAAGAGACAAATGGAGGTCAAGACAAACCAAAGAAACAGAAAGTTGTTACGAAGAGTTCTTCAAAGAAAAGTGCCAAAAAGGATGATAATAGTGAGAAGTCTAAGACCGCTAGTAATAGTGCTGCAAAAGCTTCAAACACTCCTGGTAAATCTACTAAAGGCTCTGCCAGTTCAGCCTCGAAGGAAGATACTACTGAATCCAAATCTAAATCTGAGAGTAAGATGAAGCAATACACTACTAATAAAGCAGAAAGCGGGAAGGAGGTCGAAAAGAATAGGCCTGCAAAGAATACAGCTTCAGGCAAAGCTTCGAAAAAGGATAAAGGTACATGCTGGTTCAAATTATGTGTTTATACATTTAGCTTAAAGATATTTAAATTAACTCGCATTGATCAAGAAAGATACATACAATATATATATGTTTGTGTGTGTATGTGAGATATAAGAAAACACGTATTCATATACTTTCTTGATGCTGTGGGGGCCTCACTTTCCAGAACTCTCTTCCTGTATGAATACTCTTGACTGAGATTAATATCATCTTTCTTAGTCAATGATTCTATTCGTATTTTGTGAAAGGGGAAGGCAAAAGTAAAAATGTCAAAAAGCCGGCCAAGGAGCCCAGCTACGAGGAATTGCAGGCAGTAGTAGTGGCCATTTTGAAGGAAGTCGATTTCAATACTGTGAGTTATATAAATAAGTTCAAATCATTGCTTGCATTTTGGTGATCGACTCGATTTAAATTTTTTTCTTGTTGTTTTCTCTACATGCAGGCAACTTTATCAGATATTCTGAGGCAGCTTGGTATGCACGACCTCTACTTACTGTGAAATATATATTAAATCAATTTTTGATTTTGATATGCCTAGTTTGCTTCTTTTTAACTATGGTTGATGGATCAAATTAGGTAAACACTTCGGGATGGATCTTATGCATAGGAAGTCTGATGTGAAGAATATAATCACAGAAGCAATAAAGAACATGTCAGACAATGATGAAGATGACGAGAAGACAGATGGGTCTGCTGGAGAAGATGAATCTGGAGATGGAGAATCGGATGACGAGGAGTAAGATTGGTAGGTATTTCATATTTGATCCTTTTTGGGGATCAAAGAAATGCTTATATATCCCAAACACCACCATATAGATTAATTTGCATTGCTTTTGGAGGTTTAGGTTGCATGAACTGAAAAATTAATTGGATGTTCCCCGACTTGACTGAACCATACAAACCATAGAATTCCGGGCATTTAGCTTTCGTGTAGCTAGCTCATCAGTCTCATTTGATTCTGTAAATCTATACAAGTCCATCCTCATCCTGTCTGTAGACTGGAAAAACATATAGATGGAGGATGGCTGTAGTAGTAGCAGCAGTATATGAAAAACCATTGTTGTTGAGCTGCATCCCTGCAAACTGTTGGGATGATTCATTCGGTATGCCTTCCATTACTATTATATGCTTAGAAGTGATCGAATTCTGCAGGTATATATATATATGTGTGTATATACATACAGGTAGGTACTGCACTTCAGCACATAAATGGATGGTGGTGCTGCCATTATTTCATCCAGGTGAATGTTGTGTTTCTTTTCGGTCTGAATTGGATTTGCAGGTTTTGGGCTTTTGATTCAAATAATGCTTGACCTAATATTTTCTTAGGTAAATTTCAATAGAGATATTTATGTTATGTCACTTTTTCGCAAAATCATCTATAATTCTCATTCCGGATTATTCAACCAACGTGTTGTTTTTATCGTATGTTATTTATACGTATATAAATATTTTATAGACAGACAGATGCATTTGGTTACCTTCCCGACCTGGGTTGGCATTATGCTTGCAATCATTTAATTTTTTTTTAAATATTACGTTATATGGATCTTACTCAAAATTCATTCAAAATATTTTTTTTCATCTCCTTCCAATAAATAAATACATTTATGTATATTTAAAATTCTTCATTTATTAGTAAAATTAATTTATATTAATTACAAATCAATATTTTTATTTTTATTTATTTAATTATATAATTTTTTTTTTTTATAAAATAGTATTCATTGTATGTATAGTAATAAAATATAGTTATTAAAATAATTAAATATATATTTTTGTTGATGCACATTTTCAACAATAAAAAATAAAATCCGGAAATAAAAACTATCTTCGAATTTGATAAAATAAATGCCTGAGAATCCCTAGACACCGTATGATACATAAGAAAAAATGAAAAAAATACTACAAACGGTAAAAGTAAAAGGATGATCCCAAAAGAAATTCACTATGTTGATTGAAGATGCCCCTTTTAGATCGTAAAAAGACCTATTTAAAAACCCCTGTCAACCGTCCAAATGTAGTTATCAGGTCATGCCTTCATATCCAATCGTCAGTTGTAACTTTTTTCAACCGCCTCAAAACTGCTTTTCGCCCGACCTGCACATTCATTGCTTCATCTCCCTTGGCCCGTCTTCCATTTGCCCGACCTCCACGTCGGCCGCCTTTTATTTGCCCGACTTCTCTTTGTCCGACCTCCATACCAACCGACCTAAATGCTTACTGTTTCCCTTTCCTCCGTCCGACCTATGCATCCCCCAATCACTCAGTCACAGGTTCTCCCAAGAAAGCCCATTTCTTAACGCCTTGACCATTGGGCCTATACCCAAACCCATAATTCAATCAATAAGCCCATTCTCGAAAAACCCTACTAATTGGTTTTCCTTACTCAACAACTTGCCTCCTCTCGCCCTACTACTAAGCGTCACTTCTCGGACTGTATGAGATGTGACGTTTGGGGGTTTATAGCACAGTGTTATCATTACACTGTTCTATGTCACATCATGGAGTTTATGTAAAACCCTTCTTTCACCCATCCATATTCACGCACTCAGAATTATGAAATTCTTCTTTTCCTCTCCAGCCAATATCTTCCCAAAACTTCTTCTCTTTCGTTTTCTGCAAAGATCTTCCGCAAATGGCCAACCAATATGTCCCTGCTCTCCCTTTTGACGGGACTGACCCATTGGTCCCCTTTGTAGCTTCAAGGGTTCTCACCCCCACCGTTCGCCCCTATTGTACCACCAATGAAGATGCCGACCGTATGAAATCTGTTATCTCTCAAGTCTCTCCGATGGCCATAAATGATGCTGCTTTCAAGCCAGAGAGACTCCTGGATAGCATTAGGACTCACCTAACTGATCCCAAATATGCCTATCGCAAATGGCACAAGAGACTTCTTCCCCACTTCGAAGAACAATGGAGGAGGCAATGTATTGACAAGGCCATTCTCCTCTTAACTCAGCTCCTCCATCTCCATGATAAGGCCTTGTTGGCAATGGCGGCCTTTTGGCATTCCCAGATGGGGGTCTTCTTCCTTCCTTCTGGCCCCATTGGCCCGACCCTCATGGACGTGGCCATCGTCGCCCATTTGCCCATTGTGGGTGATGACCCTGTTCTGGTTTCTTTTGAGGGTCGGGAACTCTCACCCGACCACGCTGGTTGGGCCCTCGCTAGGCTTGCTAAAAAAGAAAGAGGCTGGACCAGCTTTATTACCAAATTCTCGGGTGAGGAGGGCACCCCCATGTCTGAGCTGGAACACACAACGTTTCTTCTTTTTTGGCTCTGCAGGTACACTTTCTTTCCTTATACTTTCCTTGTAAACTCAATAGCTGGTCATTTAGTTGAATCTCTTCTCTTTTCACAGATATATAATTCTCTCCCCCTTCAAACTCGTTCTCTCTTCCCAGGTCGATCTGGCCATTCATTTGGCCAATGGCCAATTTTTTTCTTTAGGAACCTTATTTTTGGCTAACCTTTTTGAGGGTTTATCCCTAGTAAGCACCCGCTTGACCGATACCAAAAAGGTGGACACTGCTGCTTCGGGACCCTTTTGGTTCCTGGAGCTTTGGCTTCGTTTGTATTTCCCGACCGCTTTTTTTGGCCGATTGCCTGTTACCCCGAACCCTCAAAGGTCGATCGGTCTTGCCTTAGCTAAATTAACCCCTATTTCTTCTAATCTCCATCCATCCGACCCCGTCATCACCCAAATTTTGACTGAGGACCGTAGTAACTCTCGTCATTACGTCTACAACACCCTTATACAGTATACTACCGAACTATTTTGGCTTTATCCCGATACGCCGTATCCCCGATCTTACCCCGATCCTCTTCCCCATCCGACTTATCCCTTCTCCTGGGATTCTTCTATGAAACCTCGATCTCTATTTTCCAGTAAGAGGTCGGACAAGAAAAACTACAGATCCTTCTATACCTTTAATTACCAGCCTCAATTTTTGGCCCGACAGTTCGGTTGTTGTCAGGGTCTGCCGGGATCACTAGCCCGACCTCACCTTATACCCCAAAGCCCAGAAGGGCTGGTGATCCTCGAGCTTATCCCGACTTACCTTTCCCAACTCACCGACTATATTACTTCCAACTCTTACTTACCTTTCCGCCCTAATCCTTCGGCGGCTGAGGCCTTTTCGACCGACCGACCAATTGGTCGGGAAACTTATTCCACACTGGGTTCTCCCCGATTAGCCTCTGCTCTTAGAAGGAAGAGGCCGGCGCCTGCCGAAGGCGGATCTGGAGCAAAAAAGAAGAAACAGAAAGCCACCCCCACCATTGACAAGCAGGCAATCGAGGAGTACCTGGCGTCTCTGCCAGTGGACACAAGCGGACTGCCAAAATACTTGAGGGAGGAATTCGGTAAGTTTTCTTCCTTTTCATGTTTCCTTTTCCAAATATGTGCCTTTTTCACTTTAAACATTTCTATTTCAGAGACCCCTTCACCGCCACTGACTACTGCTCCGACCATCTCAAAACCTACCGCAGCCCAGCCGACCGACCCTCAGCCGATCGACCCTCAGCTAACCACGACTCAGCCGACCGACCCTCAGCCGACCGCAGCCCAGCCGACCGACCCTCAGCCGACCGCGGCTCAACCATCCATCACTCTTACTTCTTCTCAACCGACCGCAACCCCGACTGCTGCTCCAGCCGACATCCTCATCGAACCATTAACCACCCAAACGGTTGGTCCCTCGGCAAATCCCCCGACTGCTGGGCGACCAACCACTACAATACCGACCCCTCTGCAGGTTGAGGTAAGTTATTTCATAATACTTCTAAGGGAATACTTATTCAATTTTACTAACTTTGATTCTCCTTTCTATAGGACAACTCAAGTCCTTCATCAGTTGCTCCTCAACCGACGCCCATCGTTGCAGAGGGGGAACTGCCAATGATCCGCCGGCCGGAGGAGCCGGCGGGGAGGCAAATTTTTCCTCAAGTTTTGCCTTCACCTCAACCATCACAGGTAATTACCCTAATATTCCCACATGGTCCATTTATAAATCTTTAACTCTTGTACTTTCAATTAGGATCCTGGTGTGGTCGTGGCGGTGCTTGATCAAATCGTTGCCTTACCCGACCTAATCGCGGAACTACCCGTCCCAGTCGTGGCACCACCCGACCACGCCGCTGCACTGCCCTTACAGCCTGCCGCCCGGCCCGTGGGTGAGAGACCTCCTGCCGCTCCTCAACTAGTCCAATTGATCCCAGCGCCCCATGACATACATGAGATCTCTTCCTCGAAGTCAGGCAAAGCATCAGTAAATTTTGCCCTAAGGGTTTCGGTTAGTATTATTTCACTTTTGCCTTCTGCCTTTTATCCTTTTCCCCTTACTTAATATTCTCCTTTCAGGGTGCGGAGCTGGCCGTCGCCCACCGTCTGCAACCAGCAGACGAGTCGATCGTTGGCCCGATGACTCGTCATGATATTCCCATGGCATTTCGGATTATGTCCCCTTCTGAGGCGACGACCATTTTCAATAAGGTAAACTTTAACCCTGTATTTATCTTGACTAGTTCACTTGGTTCCTCCACACTTTAACATCTTTGTTTCAGGTTGCCCAGGAGATGAACGTTCTGGCCCAAGTGAATCTTCCGACTCCCGCTCGATCTATCATAGCACGCTGTGCTGACCTGTCTTTTGCCGACCTGAGTCCAGCCGACCTCGTGGCTCTGATTCAGGTCGCGATAGACTTGTTGGTGCAACCTTCACTGGAGTCAGAAGCTTTTTTCGTCCTCGATCGGATGATGGCAAGGCTCACAGAACTTTAAGCTGAACTGCCTTTGATCCGACCTCCATCCTCCGAGGCCACATCATCTCAACCGACAGCTGAGCCAGCTAGGCTCGAGGCATCTCTGAAGAAGGTCAATGAAGACCATGATCTTGCCAAGGCTACGCTGGACGAACTCCAACAAGCGCGACAAACGCTGGCAGCTGAGATCTCCCAAAAGGCGGAAGAGCTCAGACGCCTTCAACAACAATTGGAGTCCCTGGACGACAGCATCCAGGAAGAAGGCCGCCTGGTGGAGGAACATCGCCAGACACAAACAAACCTCTACGGCCAAATCCAATCGAGCATACGATTGAGACTCGTTAGAGGGCACCAGGAGGCCTACCAGTGTCGTTGGGCAACCCGGTCGGAGCTAAAGTGGGCCGACCTCCGAGCTGCCCTTCGGGCCCTTCTTTCTCCCTAACTTAATTGTAACATGTGTATAACTTCCAGACTTGGTCTATATATATATATATCCTACTTTTCAGAACACAGATCCATATTTTTTGCACCACAAAATTGAAAGATGACCTGCTTATTTAAATCAAACCTCAAAGGAACATTACCACAACGAACCCACAATCCCTTAAACATATGGCTTCTCCTCGAATTTGTGTTCCTACCACCAATTGGGAAGGTTCCTTACAACCATTCCTTATGGGCAAACGCCCCATAGGTCATCATGCTGAGGACCTGATACAAGTGCTAAAACAACTTGATTTAAAATTCAAGTTCTCTGGTAAGGGGAGAAAAATCATACATCGCACGATTCGTCTAATGGAGTGTGTATCTACCAGCTACGAACCCCTCATATTCTTACTCGCATATCTGACCTGGATCATCATATGGATATGATAAACCATCATGTTATGGCCATTCTTCTTGACCTTAGCTGGAACAACATCTTCTGCCAACAAAGATCAACACTTTCTAGGTTGCCTGTACTTGCTGAACGAGAATGTCATTCTTTACAAGATATGAAAGTTCACACCGAACAAGACCTTCAAGAAATGCAAGATCAATGGGATCGCTATCGTCCAGATTTAGAAGATCTTCCGGACGAAGAACCTGAGATGGTTTCTGCAAACTGGGATGAAGTTTCTGAACCAGAGGATGATCATGTTTGTGTCACTCTTTCAGATGATGAATAAAAACCCCTCTCTGTGGTTTCGAACCCTTAGAGGGTTCTTAAGTCTTTTGTAATAGAATTAATGACAATGTTCTGAAAATTCAGGAAAATACCTTTTCAGATACTTAACATTAATATTCTCGTGTACCAATTTTCCTTCCAGATTCACAATAATAAAAGCTCCGTTTCCAATTACTTTGTGAATGATGAAAGGACCTTCCCAATTGGGAGACCACTTCCCTAACTGATCCACTTTCTTATATGCAGGCAAAATTGTTTTCCATACCAAATCTCCTTCTGTAAAACTCTTAGGAGATACTCTTTTCCCATAATATTTAGCTCTTATCTTATTTTGTCTGACCACTTGACCCAGAACATTCAATCGATCAGTATCTACTTCATCCAATTGTCGCCAAATCCCTTGTACATAAGCTTCATCATTATATACCGTTGGATTAATTACTCTAGGTGAGGATACAACAAATTCGGCAGGAAGTATAGCATCTTGCCCGAACGTTAATTGGTAGCGGAAAAATCCAGTAGAAATGTTCCTACTATTTCGGTGGACCCATAATGCTTGAGGCAGCAAGGCATGCCATCTCCTTGGATTTCCCTCCACCATTTTCCAAATGATGTCGATGACGATTTTATTTGTTGCTTCAGCCAATCCATTAGCCTTGGGTAATAAGGCGATGAATGATGCAGTCTGATGTTGAATTCGGCCAAAAACTCAATAAATTTTTCCCCGGTACATCAAACCTTGATCAGTCGTAAGAGTGTGAGGGGATTCCAAACCGATAAATAATGTGACTAAGCACAAACTCGATCACTTCTTTCTGTGTCGCATTCCTCAAAGGGACCGCCTCTACCCATTTGGTAAAATAGTCAGTAGCTACCAAGATAAACGAATGTTGCTTCGATGAAGCCAGATGAATTTTACCTATTACATCCAACGCCCAAGCTTTGAATGGCCACGGTTTAATCATCGCCTGGAGTTCCACTGCTGGCAGATGGTTTAACGGACCATGTCTCTGGCATTCCTAACACCCTTTAGCAAATTTGATACAATCATCAAATATTCTTGGCCAATAAAACCCCAAACGATGAATAGCCCATCGCATGTTCAATCCTGTTCGGTGTGCTCCACAAATTCCACCATGAACTTCTTCCATCACTTTGATGGATTCTTCTGGTCCCAAACACCTTAATAATACTCCTTCGAAGGTTCTCTTATACAGAACCCCTTCAATAAGTTGAACGCATAATGCTTTCAATCGAATACCCACAGGAGTTGCAAAATTTGGTGCTTCCAGATAGACCATAATTTATGTTCTCCAATAAGTACTTGTATCAATATCGCCAATAATTATTTGCTGACACGCATTCTGAGCCGAATTATCTGCCTGTCGATTCTCTGTTCTTGGTACATGCTCAATAACCACCTCCGCAATTCTATCTAACAGGCGATATACCAAATCTCTATATTGACGTAAATGAGGATAATTACAAGCGTACCGTCTTAACACTTGATTGATGACCAATTGAGAATCTCCGCAAATCATAACCGCATGTGCCCCATTAGCCACGAGTACCTCCAAACCCAAAATCAATGCTTCATATTCTGCAGAGTTATGAGTCATCTCATTCATTTGGAGTTGCAGACTGATTTTCCGAGCTTCTGGTCCTTCTAATATAACTCATGCTCCTGACCTCCCTTTTGAACGAGAACCATCAAAAAACATTTTCCAGGGACTGGTACCTACATATGGTACCATTTTGCTTTCTGCTGGTTCGCTGTTCGTAAATTCAGCCAATAAGTCGGCCACTGCTTGTCCTTTCATTGCCTTGATAGGTCGATGTCGCAGCGCAAAGGGAGCCACTCTGATTTCCCACTTCATTAACCTTCCCTGCATGGTTGGTTTGTGCAGAATTAATCTGACCAGATCCACTTTGGAAACCATCTCGGTTTCTCTTGGCAGAATATAATGCTCTAACCGAGTACATGCGAAGATTAAAGAATAACACATTTTTTCGGGCATGGTATAATTTAGCTCTGGCCCCGCCAAAGTTTTGCTTAAGTAGTAAATAGCCTTTCCTTGCCGTCTTCCCATTCTTATGCTAGCAGACTGCTAACCACGCCTAAACTATTTGCCACATACAGTCTAAGAGGTCGATCTCCTCTTGGGCAACCAACACGGGTTGTTTTGTTAATGCCTGCTTGATTTCTTTGAATGCTTCTTGCTGCTCTAGACCCCAAGAAAAATCGGTTGCTTTATTCTTTAACAACTTTGTGATGGGTTTTAACTTTCCTGCGGCATTTGATATGAATCTCCTTAGGTAATTTATTTTACCCAACAAAATTTGAACCTCTCTAACCGTCTGAGGGGATCGCATCATCAAAACAGCTTTAGTTTTGTTTACATCAACTTCTATTCCCTTTTTATGCACTAAAAAACCTAGGAAATTCCCTGCCGAAACTCCAAAGGGGCATTTCGTTGAGTTCATTTTCAGGTTGTACCGCTTCATCCACAGAAAAGCATTTTTCAAGTCGACCAAATGTGTATCAAAGTCAGTAGACTTAACAATCACATCGTCGATATATACCTCCATGGACTGCCCGATCAAATCGTGAAAGATAGTATTCATTGCCTGTTGATAGGTTGCTCCAACATTCTTTAAACCGAACGGCATAACCGTCCATTCGTAAATCCCCAAGGCTCCTGAGCACCTGAATGCGGTTTTTGGTATATCTTCTTCTGCCAGTGAGATCTGATTATACCTCGCATAACCGTCCATTAGGCTTAAAATTCGGTGTCCTGCTACCGAATCGATAAACATATCAGCTATGGGCATTACATACTCATCCTTAGGAGTAGCTAGATTGAGATCTCTGAAGTCAATATAGATCCGAATCTTTCCATTCTTCTTGGTTACCAGGACAATGTTGGCTAACCATTATGCATATCAACAGGGTCGAATGAACCCTACTTTCAACAATTTCTCAATTTCTTCTTTGATCTGTGGAAGCAGTTCTGGACTAACCCTTCTTGGTGGTTGCTTATACGGTTTGAACCCCTCCTTAATAGGTAACCTATATTCCATTAAATCTCGTGCCAATCTAGGCATTTCAGAATAATCTCATGCCAAACACTTCATATGGTGCCGAATTAACATTACCATTTGCTCATGCTGGTTTTTAGACAACAAACCACTAACCTTGACCATCTTGGGTATCTCTTCGGTTCCCACATTGTATTCAACGAGCGGATCCTGAGTTGACAAGGAAGGTTCTGTTTTCTCCAGCAGGTCAGGCCAGCGAAAGCCTTCTCCCTCATCAACATTATTGTTGGAACCTTCCTCACTATGTAATCTAACCATTAATTGGTTTAAATAGAACTGCCTAATCAACAAGTTACATCTACCCATCTCTTCCATAATTAAACTTTAATAGTTTTAACTTTTTTGGCTAACAACAAAGTCACAAAAAAAGAGAAAATGTTTCTAATGAAACACATACCCCTTACCCCTACGTAGTGAGCTTACAACTTTTCCAGGGATACTCATCTACCACAGTTGTTTGTGAGATTAGAGGTACATACTCAGAGTAAAGTACGGATTCTTCCACAACTTCTGTGGAACCGAACGGATTAGTGCTGGCATCCATTCTGAACACTTGATCTCCTTCCCAAAACATGATCTGCTGATGAAGAGAAGAGGGCACGCATTTGGAAGCGTGGATCCAATCTCACCCTAACAGGACCGAGTAAGTGGTGTTGGCATCTACCACAAAGAACACCGTTGAAATCACCTTTGGTCCGACTTCAATAGGAGCTACCATCATCCCTTCTGGTTTCGTTGGTTGCCCTGTGAAGCTTGTCATCTCGATATCTACTGGAGACAGATCACCAATTCATTTTCCCAATTTCCTCAACGTCTTGAGAGGCATAACGTTGAAGACAGCTTCTGGTTTCGTTGGTTGCCCCGTGAAGCTTGTCATCTCGATATCTACTGGAGACAGATCACCAATTCATTTTCCCAATTTCCTCAACGTCTTGAGAGGCATAACGTTGAAGACAGCTCCATTATCAATGAAAACTTTGTTAATCGGTTTACCACAGATGTGAGCGTTAACATATAATGGTTTCAAGTGTAGGATTGCTCCTTCTGGTATAGGTGGGGGACTACTGCGTGTAAATCCGGGACTACCAGCCATTGCCGCCCATTCTGGTTCCTCTTCCTTCAGCCTCGCCCAGATAGGCTCATCTTCTTCCTCGAACCAACGCATACCAGTCATCCTGATTTTGAACCCGGTTTTGTCGGTCTTCACTATCTCGCTACGTAAA